CGGTGGAGAAGTCCTGAAGCTCCTTCCCTGGAACCATCCCTGCCCTGCCTGGCTGTCCTCTGAGCGGTCCAGAGTCCCCAGGCCAAGCAGTGTAGACGATCCCTCCGTCCCCCAATGCCATGTCACTCGGCGTGGCCAGGGTAGGCAGGTGCAAGAGACGCAACGCAGAGCCGTGGCTTCTGCCTCTTGCCCGCGGACCCAGAGGCCGGCCTCACCTGGTCACTCCTTATTTCGTCCAGCCCTGGCTGGTTTGGACTGTGCATAGGGCGGGCACCACGGAAGCCCAGGGCTCCGCTCCCTGGCCCTGGGGACTGCCCAGGAAGTCACCTGCATGAAGTGAGGAGGGTCTGTGTGTGCCCGGGTGAGACACGGGAAAGCAGGGGGGCAGAAAAGTCTGGGAGGCCGGGAGTGGAGGCTCATGCCTGTCATCCGGGCACTCTGGAAGGCCGAGGCGGGAGGATCGCTCAAGGTTGGGAGTTCAAGACCAGCCTGAGCAAGAGCGAGACCCCGTCTCTACTATAAAAATAGAAAGAAATTAATTGCCCAACTAAAAAAAATATATAGAAAAAATGAGCCGGGCGTGGTGGCGCACGCCTGTAGTCCCAGCTACTTGGGAGGCTAAGGCAGGAGGATCTCTTGAGCCCAGGAGTTGGAGGTTGCTGTGAGCGAGGCTGACGCCACGGCACTCACTCTAGCCCGGGCAACAGAGTGAGACTCTGTGTCAAAAAATAAATAAATCAATAAATAAAAATGGCCTTGTAGACTCACGTGGCCTCTGTCACAGAAGGAGTTTCTGTTAAGACAGACTTAAAGCCCAGAATTTTGTCTGGGCTCTGATAGATTTCCTTACGAGGCTTGGGGACATAAATTCAAGCCAGAGTGACAGACTGACTCGTTTGAAGTTCCCCATGAAATTGGAACTGTGGAAGGGATGGACGCTGAAGATTATGGGGGTTACATAATAAGAGGTGGTACAGGCGACATGAAGAATAGTTGACAGCCCACAGGGGACAGACCAAGCAGAGCCGATCAAAACAGACGTGGGTTTCAGCCCTGGGCCGGGCACTGACCCTTCATGTCCTGGATTGTTGGGGACCAGAACACGCCACTCCAAAATATGCCACTCTGGGCCGGGCGTGGTGGCTCACGCCCGTCATCCCAGCACTCTGGGAGGCCGAGGCGGGAGGATTGCTTGAGGTCAGGAGTTCGAGACCAGCCTGAGCAAGAGCGAGACCCCGTCTCTACCATAAATAGAAAGAAATGAATTAGCCAACTAAAAAAAATATATAGAAAAAAAAATATATATATATATAGAAAAAATATATATAGAAAAAATTAGCCAGGCATGGTGGCACATGCCCGTAGTCCAGCTACTAGGGAGGCTGAGGCAGGAGGATCGCTTGAGCCTCAAAGTTGGAGGCTGCTGGGAGCGAGGCTGACGCCATGGCACTCACTGTAGCCCGGGCAACAGAGTGAGACTCTGTCTCAAAAAAAAAAATAATAATAATAAAAAATAAAAAGAAAAGAAAAAAGAAAAACTCTCTGCCCCTCCCTGTCCTTATTTGCCTAAAAAGCAGAACTTAAACTCATAAAGGCAAACGCGTTCTCCTTCCCTTTCTACCAGGAAGGGCCAAGGATGATTCTGGAAGGCAAGGTGAGACCCCGATCAGCCCGGAGAGACCAGAGCCATCTAAACAACGAGGCTTGCCCACCCACTGGCCTTTGTGGACTGCCCTTTGCACAGCTTGTCTTTTCTAGAGACTCAAGGTCCTTTTTTTCTTTGTCTTGTCGCTTCTCTAAAAAAAAAAAAAAATTGCACTATTCCTTATTGAAAATGTTCTATAAACTGCAAAGTTTCAATATATTGAAAATGTTACATAAACTGCAAAGTTTCAATATATTGAAAATGTTACATAAACTGCTGCAAGGGCGGCGAGCTTTGCGGATATATTGAAAATCGTTCCATAAACTGGCAAAGTTCAATATATTCGACGCAATGTCTACACACTAACTGGGCAAATGCTCATCTTCCTTCGAGAATCAGCTCATTCCCGCCGCGGCCGTGTCCTGAGGCGGCCTATAGGCGAGCAGTAGACCTGCTCCCTGTTTAAAACTTTGAGGAGCCTCTGGCTCTATAGTTCAATAAACTCTACGATTTGCTTCCTCTTGTTAATCACCGCGGGTCTTGTCCCAGCTTAAAAAAAAGAATCAATAGATCCCAAAAAAAATGCCACAACGGGTAGAGAGAAAATTATTTCTTTTTTCTTTCCCCTACAATCTGTAAAAGACCGCGAACATACATGTAGTGAGCTCAAACAAATGTTACATTGACCGTCAGCCCACCTCTTCAAGCTAGAGGCAGAGACCAAAAACCAGTGGATTGGGCGGTGGAGTGAAGGGGGAAGAACCGTGCGAGCATCCTGCTCCGCTAGTAACATATCTCCTTCTTGCCTTACGGAGGACCCCAGGGCACGATGAAATAGAAATGTTGGGCGGCGCGGGGGGGCGACATGCTGCCCATGACCCCCAAAACAGGAGTCTATCGCGCTCCTTGGCTTGCCACCAGCTGGCAAAACGCCCTTCTCCCAATTACATTCTATCCAGAAGAGTCGGATGACAAACTTACGTCCACAACAATGGTTGAATGGAACACAGGCGACCCCCATCCCTACGTACGGTAGCACCTACAAAACAAGGCAGGACCGTGCACTTGAACGCGAAGTCAGCCATGCCGAGGCGCCCACCAGGACGATTTTTTTTCTCTCGAATAAAGCCTGACGACTTCCTAGCAAACGGGCGCAGCCCTCTGTCCTTCTCCCGGTCCCTACTTGCGAGCACTTGTCTGCAACCTCACGGTGCTCGCGCCGGAAAACCCTCGG